GAGGAGACGTGTCCCTGGGGGTGGGTGGGACCAGCTCCTTCCTCCATCAAATTCCTAAGGGGCAGGATCTGCTCAATGATTCCTGTTCCCCCAAGGTTTAACCCAGACCCAGGACAGCCCCCGAGCCCTAACCCTTATGAGGGTTCTGCTCAGACCTCTCTGTTCTGCAGGGAGCTGCATCTCCAGGCAGCTCCGTCTCTGCCCCTCTCCAGGACCCTGGGAGTTACCAGCTGTGGGAGGGCCAGGAAGCGGCCTGGGGGCTGGGTGCTGGCTGCAGAGGAAACTTGCTCTTCAGTCTGAAAGGCCGTTTGTGTGTTTATTATAAATATCCTCACACGTGGGGCCCATCACTGCCGTCTGCATTCAGCCTTACTTTCTGAGGAAATCCAGCCGGGCTGAAATACTGCCTCTGGCTCATGTTATACCCAGAGCCAAAGCAGGAAATGATAGTCATTGAAAGGGGATCTGAATATAAAATCCACCCGGCCCCCAATTCAAAGTGAGATTTGGAAATCAGCTACACTGAAGATATCCTAATTTTATTTTAAAAACAGTCACGTTCATCCCTAGGGGAGCGAGTCCCACTAGGTAGGATGGACAACCCCATGGGGAAGCTGCACAGGGAGGTTGGGCACCGCGACCTGGCCCAGCTCCTGCAGGAATCCCATCTGCACAGTGCGTGCTTCCTCAGGCCACCCAGGACCTGGCCTCCCTGTGGACCCCACCTGCCAGCCTCTCAGGCCTCACGCCCACAGGAGAAACCACAAAGGCACCTTTCTCCTTTCAGAGGTGAAGCAGGACGTCCTCTCCACATTGGCTGCCCCTCGGCCTCCACTCACTTAGCACCTGCCCCCTCACTCAGCACAATCGGGAACAGTAAGGGGGAGGCATCCCTCAGGCCCTGGGATGGTCACTTAGCCCGATCAGGAACTCAGTAAGGACGACACATCATCTCTCAGGCCAGGACAGTCACCCTGCCTGATTATGAACTCAGTGAGGAGGAGACATCCCTCAGGCAGGGACGGTGACTCAGCTGCTGTTCCCCCGGGTCTGCCGCCGGAGTGCAGCCCCTCAGCCGCTGCGCCTTACCCCTCTCTCCAGCAGCATGTCTCGGAAGTGGGTCACGCGCTCCTCCAGGGGCAGGAGGATCTGTGGGGGTGGCGTCCTTGTGCCTTTGTCCTCTCTCTTTGCCTCCTCTGGCCTGGGACTCCCGCAGCCTTCGGTCCTTCAGGGACACAAGATGCAGAGAGTTAGACACACTCATGGGGACCCAGCTGGTTCTTATTGCAACCTTTACAAACCCTCCTTAAAGTAAGTCTTTCAGAAACTCAGTCTCTTTGACAACTCTTCACAAAGCCTGACGTGGTCTCCCCAGCAAAGGTGGCACATTTGCTCCTGGCAGGCACGGGGCTTGGCTGTGTCCAGGGCCGGAGGCTGGAATTGAAGTCCCAGCCCTGGGCCCAGCTGCAAGAAGCTGCAGCTCAGGTGCAGGCAGAACCACACCCCGGAGGCCAACCGGCGTGTCTCCCGGGCAGGCCCTCACTCCAGGTCCCCGTGCTGCCCACGGCCCACGCCTCAGGTGCCGCTGCAGAGACAGGGTCATGGAGGGGTAAGTAGCAGGCTTTTCATCCGAACAATCATTTCACTCACTCATGGCCCCTTTGTTCTGGACAAATGCCTGGAAGACAGTTACGCACAGAACCATCTGTGCCCTGAGATCTAACCCCAAAGGGAAACTTCAGTGACAAAGAAGGAGGCTGGGACCCCTCCCCAGGCACAGAGGACAGGGGAGGATGGGATCACCCAGGGTCCCTGGAGAAGTTCCCTCCTACAGCAGAGGGGTGGCCCCTGCCAAGGCCCCAGACACTGTGGGCAGCAGCAGGAGCTGCACAAGGTGGAACCCAGGGTGGGCAGGGAGGGAGGGACCCCACGAGCTGGCTGTGCTAGGCTGGGCAGTTGACCAGCACTCCCTTTCAAACCACAAGGGCAGGGAGGCGGGACCCTACTCCTATGGAAGAAATGTGAGAGGCCCACCTTTCTCAAGTACCAACTCTCCCCCTTGCATTATTTTAACTGCACATGGATAGATCTCTTTATGGTTCTACACTGGACTCTAAGAAGCATCTAGAAATATCCTTTTGAAAAAATTAAATGTTTGCTGCTGGAAGAACGTGTTTGGCCAAATGCAGACACCGTTCTTCTTGCGTCTGGCTTCCCCTCCTTCCCACCCTGGGCCTGCCTGGGAGCAGGTCCATCAGCTGCCCCCCGCACCTCAGGATGCAGCCTGTTCTCCAGGATGGGCAGACTCAACCCACGCAGGCTTGGCACACCCTTGGTCCGACCATGCTGAGCCTTCATGGGCCTGCTCCCTGGCCTGGCCCT